CAGAGTTCCGGGCCGTACAGACTCTGTGAGGACCTCCAACTCTCCGACACTCTCGCCCTGACCGAACTCTGCCCGAACACTGACACCGCCATCCTTCTTCTCCTGAACAAGCCGAAGTCGTCCGTTGAGAACGATGTGGATGGCCTCGCTCTCGTCTCCCTCGTGGAAGATGACTTGACCGGCATCGACTTGTTCCCAGTCGAGAGCAAAGTCGATGTGCATGATCAGGCGAGGAAGAAGGCTCGTGAGTCGCTTGGCCATCGTAAGCAAAACGATAGGGTAGCGGTCGGCGATTCTCTCAATGGTTGACCGTGGCAGAAAGCCAACGTAGACATCAGTCTTCGCAACAACATCGATGAATGATCGATATGACGACACTGTACCCACGTAACCAGCGAGTCCACCGGGCTTGATCAGGGACACGCTGCGGCGAACAGGTTGCTTCTTCTTCGTGTCTCCAGCCTTTCCTGCCCCGAGCAGGTTGACAGAAGAGTAAGCTGGAGATCCATCCATGGCCAGGTAGTCAGCATGGAGAGAAGTCCTGCTGGATGAATGCAAAATGTCGGCGGACGAGTCTTCGTTCGTGGTGCAAATGTCAAGGAATCCGTCAATGACATAGTACAGCCCAGGGTTACGCTCGCCCTGCTCAACCAGAACGGATCCCTTGGGGAAGAAAACGATCTCGACATCGTCCTTCATGTCATTAGCCAGCAGGTGCGCGTTCGGTGGAGTGTTTAAAGTGAACCCCCCGGAAGTCAACGATTCCGTGTCACCGTCTCCAGAGGATTCGAAAGGGCCCATCAGACCAAACGCGTTGTTGCCGAGACCAACTCTCTGACGACGCTGGTCGTAGGAGAACAGTCTGGGAGATCCTTCGACTGACTCCGCCTCGCGCGAGACACTGCCACCGCTGCCTAAGCCGATCGCCTTGAACATGCACTCCAGTATTGACTGACGGAAAAGGTTGTCCTCGTCAAGTGAGTCGCGACCGTCGATCGAGATCCGCGGATGCTTCTGAGCATGGAACGGGTTGAAAGACCGTTGAGCAAGAGGACTTGTACCTTCGTGACGAAGAGCGTCAGCAACCTGGTCGATGTCGGCAGTGGTGGAAGTGCCGGGCCTGTGACCACCCGTGCGAGCAAATTGGATGTTTGCCAGCAAATCGCCAGGGCTCGGAGTGTGCGTGGAGGAGCGCTCTCTGGGAGGAGCGATTGTCGTAGCAACTTGGGAGAACGACCTCTCCTTGGTGCTCATGGAATGGATCATTGCATCCTTGCGCAGAGTCGACGTTGACTTACGACGACGATGAGCGTTCGCGTTGTGTAGAGCAATGCCCTTGCTCTCAAGCTCACCACCAACGCGCTCACGCTCACGATTGAACTTTTCTTTCAGGCGCTCAAGCGCATCACCCCGAAGCATGTTGGGCAACTGGCAGGTGGTGAAGGAGAGCATGTTCTTCTCCGTCTGGAGCACCTCCCCGGTGAGTCCGAGATAGTTGTACGCAGTCGCGAGTGTTACTCTCTGAAAACGAGAAAGGATGACCTGGACGATGTGGGAAGTCGCCTTAGGGTAGACCTTGGTCAAGCGTCGGAAAGCGCTGGCCGGGATAATTGCAATGGTCGTGTCGACAGTCGCCCTCGCAATGATATCTGGATGGGCCGAGCCAGAAGTTGCGCGGCTCTGGAGCGGTGGGCGTTTTGGTGCACGCGCGCTGCCAGGAGCGCTACCGCTGCTTGGGTTGTCGAGAGAAATGGGAGGGATTCTCGCGCTGGCTGGCGTCGGGGTGACAGATCGCTTCGGCGGCTCCTCAATCCTCACGCCAGGCTTCTCATCGGCGGATTCCGCGAATTGAGGTGTCATCTGATACGGGCTTGCAGGGTCAGATGGCATACGCCGGAAACCAGCGTTGCGTGGAAACGGAGAAGTTCTCAGTCCAGCGCTCCCAGCACTAGGCTCAGGAGTATCGTCTTCCGTTGTTCGGAGTTTGACATCCTCAGTGAACAGAGACATAATGGAGAACAAGGACGACATGGGAGCGCCGTTGCGGACTTCAGTGAGCAGCTGGTATCGCTGATGTCCTGCAGGAGAGATGTCTTCCTCAGCAGGATAGCTAGACTCGAAGCTCTCGCAAGGATCAGGCTCCATGGTTCTGGCATTTCGGCCAGATTTGACAAAAATCTCCACGAGCCCGTCGACGACGATGCAAAAGCCCTTCTCCTCTTCCAGGTTGAAGGTCTCGCCGGCAATGAGCTTGCGAGTCTGCATGCTGCGGGTCAACTCATGGAAGACCTGTCGCTCCAAGTACCCGAAGATTTTGATAGCGCTCAAGAACTCATCCAGATAGCTGGATAAGCCGGCCTTTTTGCCCTCCTCGTGGGTGTCGGGGAATAAGTCAACGTCTGGCTCCTTCCTCTGAGGCTCCGGGGGAAGCCGAGAGTACATGTTCAGGATGCGGTAGCGCACTACCCAACTGACTGCGGATATGATGGCGACCATGATAACCATTCTGCGGGGAGTTAGCAACAGGCTCCCATGTAGCAAGGCAAGCAGGACGCGTACAATGTGGTGGCGTTCATCGTCACGGTCCAACTCGTCGAGAACAAGGTAAAGAGCAGGGTAGGTATCGTGATGGTAACGATGCGAATAGCCCAATACAGGATCGAGGAGATCAAGGACAGAATGGCGAGGATCAACCGCCCCAGGAGCCCCAACCAGCTGGACGATCCCTGGGCGGCGACGACCTCCTGCGCGCGCGTGAAGGCGGACGGGAGCACCTCCGGAGAGGTGCTCATTGTGGCCGACACGGCGTCAGAGACGGCGCTCGATATGTCGGCGGACGACATGACTGCTGCTGCGATTGGTGACTGCGGCTGCGGTTTTGCAACGAAACAACGACAAGAGGATGTTGTTGTTCAGCATAGCGCGCGCGAGAAAAGACCAGATCACATGGTTGAGCGCGTCCCTTGGGGCTAGCAGAGCCGGGCCGCGTGGGCAAGGGAGGCGGATGATTTTTAAGGGCCGGTTGTTGGTGGCTGAGACGAGACTCGAGCCAAAGAGGTGGTTGGAGAAAAAGTAGAAGAGGGAAGAAAAAAAAGCAGCTTGTGGGGTGGGAGCTTTGAAGATGGAAGCTTGGAAAGCTGGGTCGGGCACGGGCGGTCAGGCGAATTGTGCCGCCCCACGCCCGCTGGAAGTTCAGCGCGGTTGGTGGTGCAGCATGTGACGCTAGGCCTCCCGGGAAAGGACGGGCGTCAGTGTAGTGGAGTGCCTGGCACTTGCAGAACGCTGTGGATGTGCTGTGTAATGCTGCATGGAGGGGCACTGACGGTAAGGCAGATAGCCTGAGAAACTTCACTCTCGAAAGAACTCGAGACCCCGTCCGGTGCGGCAGGCAATCTTCAACGCTGCAAATTCCTCACAACAAACTCCTTCCCCTGGCGCAAAGTCAAGTAACTCAGCCTCACAATCAACCAGGATGCCTTTTGCGCAGCTCGTCCTCGGCAGTCCGGGCTCTGGAAAGAGTACCTACTGCGATGGCAGTAAGCTCCCCGACCCGACGATGCGTCCTCGACAGTCTCAAGAGCTAACACGCCACGTCAAGTGCAGCAGTTCATGGGCGCCATAGGTCGCGCCTGCTCCGTCGTGAATCTTGATCCCGCAAACGACCACACGAACTACCCGAAAGCCCTCGACATTCGCGACCTCGTCAAGCTCGAGGATATCATGGCCGGCGACAGGCTAGGACCAAACGGCGGCATTCTGTACGCTTTGGAGGAGTTGGAGCACAACTTTGAATGGCTTGAAGAGGGACTCAAAGAGATTGGCGACGACGAATACTTTCTATTTGACTGCCCAGGGCAAGTTGAGCTTTACACCCATCACAACTCGCTACGGAACATCTTCTTCAAGCTACAGAAGCTTGGGTTCAGGGTTGGTCCTCCTGGCTCTTCATCACAGAACCAACTCCCGCTAACTCCTGACTAGCTCGTCGTCGTGCACCTGTCCGACTCCTTCTGCCTAACGCAACCCTCACTCTATATCTCCAACCTTCTCCTCTCCCTCCGCGCCATGCTCCAGATGGACATGCCACACATCAATGTCCTTACCAAAATCGACAAGGTCGCTTCGTACGACTCTCTGCCTTTCAATCTCGATTACTACACCGATGTTGACGATCTTTCATATCTCATCCCCTACTTGGAGGAAGAGTCTCCCGTGATGCGCAACGAGAAGTTCGGCAGGCTGAACGAGGCGGTCGCAAACATGATTGAGAGCTACGGATTGGTCCGGTTCGAGGTGCTAGCGGTCGAAGACAAGAAGAGCATGATGCATCTGCTCAGGGTGATTGATAGAGCTGGAGGATACATCTTCGGCAGCGCAGAGGGCGCGAACGACACCGTGTGGCAGGTCGCCATGCGTAATGAGTCGTCCATGTTGGAGGTTCGTGACATCCAGGAGCGCTGGGTCGACCGCAAGGCCGAGTATGACGAGCTCGAGAGGAAAGAGTGGGAGGAGCAGGCGAAGATGCAAGAGGAAGACCCCAGTGGCGGTCAGGCGGATCAGGCGATGGCAGACTCTGATCCGGACTTTGGCGACATGACAGTGCCGGCAGACAGCGGCGTAAAAGTAGTGCGCAAAAACAAATGATACCCTTCAGCCGTCTTCTTCATCCATTCCCTCTTCTTCTGAGACATCTGATGCGTCGACCATGATGGCGTCGCCGGCTTGTGCCTTGCTTTGAGCGAACATTGGCACGGTGCCGCTGGCTGCTGCTGCGACGGAGTCTTTGGCGGCGAGTACGAGTTGTCTTGCCTGTTTGATGGCTTCCTCCTCAGCCTTACGAATCGTGCCACTCACTCGGACGACTTTGAACAAGCAGCGTTTTCCATCTCCGTGCTTAAGCGGGACGCGGTCCATGAAGGTAAGTGCGGCCCACACAAGACGGTAGTGCTCTCTCTTGATTTTGAGGATGAAAGTTGAAGTTGCTTGAGAGAGATATTTGACTAGGCTTGATTAGCGGGCGTCCGTGACAATGGTCTTTCTTCACTGACTTGATAGGTTTCCTTCAATGGCACCAGAGCCGTAATCGCCAAACAGCGTAGCAACTTCAGCTCGGAGCGCCTTCAGCAGTGACTGGGGAGTAAGCTGCCCCGTCGTGGGCTGATGCATGACTACGAAATCCGGAACATTGGTCGCCTGTTGCTTTGACGCGTCAGGTGGGTAAAGAATGTTGACGAGGATATACCTCTCCTTGATTCGGACCATTTTGCTGTGCCGTTGCGCGCTCTTGGAGAAGTGAGTGACTGCTTGTCGAAGTCGATACTGAAAAAGTTCAAGTCGCGGTACGTACTCGCGTCAAAGCTGGAAGTGCAGGGGAGGACATCGAGGAACAGCGGCTCGAAGTGGGGTCCATGCGGGAGGTCGCTGACTAAGGCGGGGGAGCTTCCCTCGAGCTCCGGTCCTCTGGAAGCTCCCGACGTCACCAGGCATGTTGTCAAGCTATTTGATGATTTGGGCGATTATTAGAGGTTTCTCGGCTTGAAAGGAAATACCGGAATTTTTTCTCTCTACATTGGTGTTCTGGACACCATTATCTGTGACCAGGTCTCAGATCCGCCTCGTTCACCATGGATACCCCTCTCAAAGTGGCCATCTTGATCGTCTCGACGACCGCATCCAAGGATCCCTCGACGGATAAGTCAGAGCTCGTCTTGAAAGATGTTATAGAACAGGAGGGCGGTGGAAAATGGGTGGTCACCGACAGCAAAATCGTCCCGGATCTTGTTCCCCAGATTCAACGCCAGATCATGCTGTGGGCAGATGTTGGGCTTGAAGACGGTGCCAACCTGATTCTCACCACAGGAGGCACTGGATTTGCGGTATCGGATAGCACCCCCGAGGTATTTAATCTAACTCACTCCCCAAAATAACTATGCTAAAGTACGGTACAGGCTGTCAGTGCTCTCATTCACAGGCCAGCTCCCGGTCTGGTTCATGGAATGATTGCTGCGTCCTTGGCAGTGACCCCGTGTAAGTCACTATATCTTAGCAAGGGCTTAAATCACTAATGATTCCAGTTGCCATGATGTCCAGGCCCGTGGCAGGAGTCAGAAACAAGACTGTCATCATCACCCTCCCTGGATCCCCGAAGGGTGCCAAGGAAAACCTTCAGGCCGTCCTTAAGACGCTTCCCCATGCCTGTGTGCAAGCCGCCGGAGCCGATTCCAGAATCTTGCATCAAGGTGGTGTCAAGAAGCTCGAGGCAGAAGCCGGAATCGGCTCCCAAGATGCAGCAGCGCCAAAGGTCCAAAAAGATCAACCACATTCACACTCACATACCCACGATCACGGCCACAGCCACGGCCATGATCACAAACACGGCCATTCCCATGGTCATGGACACGGAAGCCTGGTCAGGCATACTAAACCAGGTGACAATCCTCTGTCCAACGATCCAAGTCTCGGGCCATCCCGACGGTACAGGGAATCGCCTTATCCAATGCTTGAAGTTGATGATGCCCTCCGCCTTATTCAAGACTTCACCCCTGAGGCGGAGATCGTCACATCACTCGTCGACGTCAAGATCGTCAACTCAGTCCTAGCAGAGGATGTCACGGCTAGAGAGAACGTACCCGCCTTCCGTGCAAGCATCGTAGATGGCTACGCCGTAGTTGTTCCCAAAGACGGCAATATGAAGGGCGTGTTCCCCGTCACAGCAGTATCACACGCGGCTCCCGGGGAAGCAAAGACACTGAAAGAGGGCGAGATTGCCAGAATCACCACAGGAGCGCCGCTGCCCCCTGGAGCTACCTCAGTGATCATGGTCGAGGACACCATCCTCAAGTCCAAGACCTCTGACGACAAGGAAGAGAAGGAGGTCGAAATCCTGGCGGAGGGCGTCAAACCCGGCGAGAACATCCGGGAAGTCGGCAGCGACGTCAAGGAAGGTGACCTCATCCTAAAGAAGGGCGAGCAAATCTCCGGCGTCGGCGGCGAGATCGGTCTACTGGCATCTGTCGGCGTCGCTGAGGCGAAGACCTACAAGCGACCGGTCGTCGGCATCCTCTCCACCGGCGACGAGATCATCGAGCCCGATCGCCCGGGTGGCCTTCGCCTAGGTGAGGTCAGAGACACCAACCGCATCACCCTCATGTCCGCAGCACGGCAGTGGGGCTTCGATGTCGTCGATCTGGGCATCGCACGCGACAAGCCGGGATCCCTGGAGGAAAACCTGCGTGAAGGCCTCCGCAGGTCCGACTTGCTCATCACCACAGGCGGTGTCTCGATGGGCGAGCTGGATCTCTTGAAGCCGACCATCGAGCGCTCTCTTGGGGGAACCATTCATTTCGGTCGCGTCGCCATGAAACCCGGTAAGCCGACTACCTTCGCCACAGTTCCGGTCAAGAACAACGCCGGAGAGCGTGTCACCAAGACCATCTTCTCCCTGCCTGGCAACCCTGCCTCGGCACTGGTGACGTTCCACCTCTTTGTCATACCGGCTCTGCACAAGCTCTCCGGTATTGTGCCCACTGGTCTGCCCAAGGTCCCGGTGACGCTTTCTCATGACTTCACTCTGGATAAGCAGCGAGCAGAGTACCATCGGGCTGTTGTAACGGTCGGCAAGGATGGACTTCTATCGGCAAGTAGCACCGGTGGTCAGAGGAGCTCTAAAGTTGGAAGTCTGCGGTCTGCAAATGCTCTGCTTGCCTTGCCGAAGGGAACAGAGCTGAGGAAGGGCACCAAGGTGGAGGCTCTTTTGATGGGCGAAATTCGCGTGGAGTTGTGAGCACATCGCTATGCTTTCATGTGCAGTACACGATAAGATAATGCAGCGACTTGATTTGACTTCCATAATCATCCTTAAAAAATACCACGCTCGCGCAGAAATCACTTCGATGAGGAGCTATAATACGTTGGTAGTATACAATACAAGATGTTCCTCGCCCTGCCTTTATGCCATTAACGCCAGCCCAAGTAGCCTTGGTGTAATGCAGTGCTCCACTGTACATCATTCAAGTTCGACGTTCATAATGCCGTCTGTGGTAGTCTCCCCTTATTTTACTTCCGTGCCGTTTGGAACATCCCTTACTCCGACTTGAATCCGTTCGTCTTGCCAGCCACCAGGAGGCCGACGATGAGACCGAAAAGACCGAGGACGGAGGAGAAAATCTCGACGACGAGGATCTTGACGAAGCTATGACACGGCGCGTTAGCAAGACTTGATTTCATTTGATGATGGAGGCTAAAGACGTACAGCGTAGGGTCCGCGGCATCAGCCAGCGCGGCTCCACTACCGTTGATGCCGACAGCGACACCGCAGATCAGGTTGCACATTCCGACGGTGATGCCGGACCAGAAGAGGGCATATCCGGTGTAGTAGCTGTTGGCGTCGTGCAGGGTCTTGCCCTCGGCCGGCTCGAGCTGGGCCGAGAAGACGATGGCCATGATGACGCCGTAGATGGCGACGACTTCGCAGAAGATAATGGAGATCAAGTTCTTGGTTCTAACGCGCGGCGCCTTGACGCCCGCGCCGAGAATGGAGGAGCCGGTGATGAAAATACCCCTAGATATCAAAACCTGTTAGACACCGTGACCCCGCCTAGATGCGATGCGATGCTTCGCGAAAGCGTGTTGTTGTTCGTACCATGCTGCGCCGACGACGGAAAGACCAATGCACATGCCGATGCCCATGTCGGCCCATGTGTAAGGTGAGATCGATTCGAGGAATTCGCCAACGTTGAAGGCCTCTCCCGAACCGGTGAAGAGCATGTCTATTGGAAAAACATTATGTTAGCTTCGCTTGATTGACTGTCGCGGGCCATCGTGTCGAAGGGGCATCATCGGGATCGGGGGTTCGTACAAGCTCCCACCACGGTAAGGGCGCCTCCAATGCCTCCCAGGCCATATGTGAGACTCATCGTGCTCGTTTCGGCGTTTGTGTCGTTCCCCGGGGGTCGGTCGTGGATGTTGGATTTGACGGCGGATGTCTGGGGGGTTGCAGCTACGTCGAGCTCTCGAGGCCAAGCAGTGAGGTAACTGAGGTAAGGCAAGGTAAGAGCCGACGAACCAGATTCGGTAAGGTCACATGACGCGTCTATTGGACGCCGTTGCTCATTGGAAGCGTGCTTAGGTAATGCACCTCCCCTGGCTGCAGCCACGGGCTGGAAGTTGACGGCAACCTGGAACAGCAGGCAGCTGCACCGAGTACCCACTTTCCGAAGCGTTAGTCAGCCCGATCCAAGGATATCCTCAAACAAGGCCACTATAAATACAACCTCGCCTCTTTCACACTCGCAACCACCCAGACCGCCGTCCGCCCCCAGGAGATCAGGAACCAAATCTCCACGATGGCAGCCGCACCTCAATCTTTCTACGAGCTTTACCGCCGTAGCAGGTACATGCGCCATCCATAAGTCTAGTAATACTAGCTGTTCCAATGCTACAAAGACTAACCCGTGTACCTCCTTCCTTAGCATCGGCCTTGCGCTGACGGACATGCTCGATGATCTGATCAGTGAAGAGCGCATTCACCCGCAGCTCGCGATGAAGATCCTCGCCAACTTTGATCAGGCGATCACCGAGGCTCTTCAGAAGAGCGTGAAGGCGCGCCTCACCTTCAAGGTACGCACCACCAACGCCTTCCTCGGCAGCCCTCCCCATAGACTGCGAATATTCCCAAGCAACATCATTGCTACATACACAGTGACTGCGGGACTGCTTTACAACAGACCAAATCACTGACACTCGCACACCACAGGGCTCCCTCAGCACCTACCGTTTCTGCGACGAAGTGTGGACCTTTCTTATCAAGAATGTCCAGTTCAAGCTCGATAGTGGCGGCCAGATGGTGTCTGCGGACAAGGTCAAGATCGTCAGCTGCAACTCGAAGAAGCCGGGAGAAGGCCCTTAGGAGACGACACAATGAGCGCATTTCGAGTGTATACGAACGAAGACGTACGCATTGCTTGGGGAATGGACAGCGCCCAAGGAGGCCTGCATACAACGGCGTTTAGGTATTACATGGTTGATTCTTTTCACTAAACGAGGGATGGCAAACGGAACGGGGGACGAGGGCGTTCACCCAAATTGCGAACATTTGATACCACCCAAGGTTTTGCGCGCACCATCATAGACTTTTGATAAGCTCGGCTTGCCAATAGATTGGATGCCTACACTATGATACTCGTACTTTGTTCTTCGGGTTGGTTGTGTTATCCTCGCTATAAATTGCATTGATACCTTACAATCTTCCCAAGGGCTAAGGGAGATCATCAAGTCTTTGTGCGCCGAGTGAAGTCGAAATCTTATCGAAGTGTCTGAACAGGTGAACTTGTTCCACTGTCACTTGTAGTAACCACAAAAAATGAAATGATACGACGAAGATTGGAAGACCGGCGACAGAATTGTATTGAAAGTTACGCTACGGCGCCATACGTCATGCCCGTCCCCACAACTCAATTGGCACAACTTCCGCCGAAGTTTAGGATTGCCGCCATTCTGCAATCTTGATCCTCCAACTGCTAATTCCTAAGTACTAAGGCAAGATCGCATCAAGATCACACATCAGAGTCGCATGCCAGCTTCCTGTCTCCCTGACTGGCAACGCTGCGTCAGCCATCTGAAAGAGGGGAGGCCGATGCCGGGTACCTGCAGAGCCGGGGCTAGCCACAACTGCCCCATCCGCCGGAAACAGGAAAGGCGTCCGAGTTGTTACATGGTTATCAATGAGTGGGAACTGAGGTGCATCAAAAGGCATCGCACACCAAAAGAGAATGTCCCCGATTATTACCTAGCGCCAAGGGTCTCTATCTCAACTGTCTGGGGTTTTATTCCATCAACACCAACGTCTCGACATCTCTGCACATCTTAGCTGATAAAAATTTTTGGCACTCGTCGTCGAACCCAATGTACTTACTGAGGCGCGGTTCACTTTCGATCAATCTCTTCAGAATTACCGACGGTAAACTTTCAGACAGGTCTCATTTCAACAATGCTTGAAGTCTGGCTCTGCTGGTGCGAACTTGGCCAGGACAGTGCTCCATTAATACACCGCTGACGAATTTTCCTATCCAGGCGGATGACTACTTATATCGGGCCTCTAGGCTATTAGTTAATTTCATTTAAATAAGAGACCGCCAAATTTTCCTGTGTCTGCGCGACCAAATTTCCTGTGTACTTAAATACTCCCATCGGAGACGATAATAGTGACGACGACGACAACGATAATAATAATGACGACGACGACGACGACGACGACGACAACGATAGAGCAGACGAGTATTGAAGTGACGACGGTAAGGTAGAGTATAGTCAGAGAAAAAGTAGTCGGTATACCACAGGAGAAATAGATGGTCTCTTAAATAATGTTACTATTACTATCGTCCCTACTGTACCTATCACCCCGTCGTCTCTATCCCGATCGCTCTCCCTATCGCTATCGTCGTCGTCTATGCCCACTAGTCGCCCGGATAGCAAGACGCCCGTTAGTATTCCCAGAATCATACAATCGGTCCAGCTAGACAGGCCAGTCTGGTGCGTTGCGCGGGTGACCCGTTGCCCTAGTCATCTGCAACGACCATGGTTGGGATTGTGCTTTCAGCAGAGTCCCTCACTTCTGTCGTCGTCGATGACAAAACTGTATCAGTCGCCTTCCCATTCTGTACCATGCCGGTCAAGGTACGACTAGATGAGTGTGAAGCAGAAGACTGAATAGATGGCGCGATTGACGTCGTCTGTAGCCGGCCACTTGTCTTAGACGATGAGAGAGTCGTGACGTGGGATGTTAAGTTGGCTCTGAGCGTGGAGTTCGTGGGCACCTTGAACGACTTGCCCGACAGGACGGGAGGTCTTTCGAGAACACCAGTTATATTAGCAAGGTGAAAGCGAAAGACTCGGCATTCTTGAGGTACTACTCACCCTACGCAGATGAAGCCAGAGATGGTTTTGTTGAAGCCATCGCACTGGATGTACACCTTCGGATTCCACTCGGACAGGTTGTCTATGCTGGCGCCATACTCAGCCGTGACAGAGTCACACGAATCATCCGGAGTTACCAGATGCAGCTTGCACTGAGCCGGCAAGCACAGGTCTTGACCTACTTGGATTCCGCCGCACCAGTTGTCGAGGTGGTCGTTGGCTTCCAAAAGTTCTCTGCTCGGAACGCTCTGCGCCTCTGCGATGCTATTGCAAGTGTCGCCCTCCTGGACGTGATAGGTCGCGGCGCATTCTGAAGACATGCGCTGTGCAGACCAGCTTTGTGCCACCGCCGTTGGTGACACAACTTCAGAAGAAGTGGCTGCTGGACTGAGGATGTACGGTGATGGGCTGGTGTAAGAATAGCCGGCCACGCCGCAGCTGGAGACGACCGACTCAAATTCGGCGGCGCGCGATTCACTGTGACCGATGGGTGAGTTGACCTCGATTTGCATGGGCCCGAGAACGCAGTCGTCGCATTCGCGAGGAGCTTCGTCGGTCTCATTACGCCACTCGCCTAGGATATAGTCACACGAGCTTCCCGTTTCCCTGCCGTACGTTAGAACTAGGTCATTGAGCCAAAGCAGTTGATTCTACTTACCTATGCTTGTAGCATGATATCTCATAAACATAGATATAACGATCCACGATGTACGTAGCTGAGATTTGTATAAGCAACATGCGCAACAAAAAAAAACACTACACATTGTTCAGACCTGGGTAGAGCGCCAGGTCATGATCAAAGACGTCTGTCGCTGGGTCGCAGTCGTTTTGAATCTTGGTGCGCAAATCTACCAAGGATTCCTTGCAGCTTGCCGTGCAGATCGCTTCGATGCCGTCCGCATCGAGGACGTCGACTCTGGGAGATCTATGCAGAATGATCAGCATACAAAAACAATCATGGATAGGCCTTTTAAGCATACTCAGACTTAACGTGGCTAGCCAGTCGATGAGAGCAGCTCAAAGTGGTGTTCAGTGCCTCAAAGCAGCGCTGAGAAAGCCCGAAAGACTCGTAAGAAGTCGCTCGAAGTGGGAATTGTTGGGCTAGGGCGGGTGACAGCCAAGCCAGGCCGACTACGCAAGCAAATATCTTCAACATTGTTCTCAATCGTAGCAGAAAAATACGAGAGAGTATGGAAGATTTGTTTCCGACTCAAAGAGAGGGTGAAGGGGAGATTTCGGATGTTGTGAACAGTGACTGGATAGAAGAAACAAGAATATCAGGATATCATGGCTCGGGGGCTTGTCTCCTTTGCGAGTGAATGTCAGCTACTTGACAAAACTGTCTTCTCCTTTCATCCAATACTTCACACCCGACGATTTATTCCAGGTACGCACCACGATGAAGTGTGGGCACAAATGTCACATCCGACCTGGCTGCGCGTAACTCGTCAGAATGTTGCGGACGGCATGCTGCCAAGTCCCCGAGCTCAGGCCTGGAATGTTTTGAGATCGTCGAATGCAGTCTGTTGGCGCTAGTGTTGGTGAAGAACTGCTGCGCCGCTCGTATTTACTTGCATATGCAAATCTGTCTATGGCAATCTTCCGCGAGTTTGAAATTAAACTCCATCGACAACCCATGGCTCTGCCTCGTGGCGAGCCAGGCACCGGCCTGGCCTGGACGGCGTGGCGTCTTCGCGGAGGGACGATGTCCGCCTGCGGCACAAAGCCTACTCTCGCCTCGCACATGACAACCGTCTCTCGACCAGCGTAGTTGTTTTTAGGGTACCATAGTCTATATTTGAAGATTCTGTCACAGCAATACTGGCCCATGGATAGATCAACCAGACAGATCCTTCAAACAGTGAATAAGAAAGATACACCCAAGGAATTGTGGTGCGTTGAGGTTATCCGACCAAGTAAAAACATCGAAATTCGACTGATCGCCACCTAGTTCGATCACTTTGAGTATTGTTCTTCCAACATGCCATGCTCCTCGACCCGTCCCGGCGGCTAGGTACATTGACAGGCAGCATGTGGATCACACATGCGTCTACAGGGCCCTCCTACGTGACAATCTTATATTATCCGCTTGCTTGCGGACACCCCTCGGAGTCTTTCCGTGGTTTCGACTTGGCATCACAGGAACGGCTCGGATGAACCGAGGTGAACGAACCGTTCGTGGGGCTGTTGGTCCTCCTTCGACTACCCTGCAGGTCAAGGTGCTGTTGGTGCTTAGCCCGGACCCAACCCTTGATATGGAAAAGGTCTCCAGCGGCCCGCCCTTCGCCCAGCCGAAGTTGGGCAATCGAGCCGAATCGCTCACCGGTTAATCCTAGTGCAGCGCTAAATATCTACTGTCTATAACGATAGTCTAGGCTTAAGACTCCCCTAGACCGTCGTGGTTGCTTGACCGGTGTTGCGTTCCGTCCCAATTAAGCTTGTTTCCTTCTGGGGACATTAATGGATCCAACAATAATCTTCAGCTGCTCCGACGACGAGGGCCTAGCCGATGCGTGCAAAAGGCCCCTTGATGTCGTGAATTGCAGTAAATCGCGTTGCCCCAATACTCTTTACAATGAGGAAATAGGAAGTTGCCACCGACCCCTGTCCGTGTGTGGAGTCCGCTGCTCAAATATTCTCAAGTGTTGGTCCAACATCAAGAGATCACAAGGCTACCGCAACCTGTGACGAGTCACATCGGAGGAGACTGCAGGCCGAACTTCGCAAAGTCACTAATCAAAGGTACCTTGTAGGACTGAGTCCTTTAACATGAAGACAGGATTGTCATGAGGATCTGTGTTTGAATCAGGCAACACCTTGGCCGTGACACTCATGGGTCTCACGCACCCATCCCATGTCATGAAGATTTCTCTGACGAGAAATGAATATCCGCCTATCACGAAGCTCCGGTTCGCCGCTTGCGCTAACTCTGCCTCCGCATGCGGGAAATCACCATGTCTAGAGCCCAGGTGGAGGGTGGGAAGGAAGCGTGTGTTGGAAGTCCATGCGGATCCAGGGCTCATGTTCGCCCGGTCAAGGCAGGGATACTTGATGAAGAATATGAAGGAGAGAACCAAGAGATACTGATGTGGTAAAGTTAGGCAGAAGGGTGGATAGGATATGAAAATGAATATGAGTCTCGACATCTGCCGCCATTTGATGAGTAGACTATGTCTCGCTTGTTGTATTACTGAAGTCACTCTTTTCTCTTGAGTTCTCTTCTGTCTCTGTTCCAACTGGCCGCAATGAGACTACTACTTTTCTTTCTTACGTCCTTGTCATGGGTGAATGAAGTCTTAGGACGGGCGGTGTTTGCTCACTTCATGGTAAGTAAAGCCCTGCCTCATTTGCAGAAGTTGTAAACCTCACTGGGAAGCTAACAAATCTGTTTCTTACAGGTTGGCAATACGGAACACTACACGGCATCTGATTGGGTCGATGACATCAAACTGGCTCAAGAGGCTCATATCGACGCCTTTGCCCTGAATATGGCCAAGGGAGAGCCTATGAACACCAAGGCTATAGCCGATGCTTTCTCAAATGCGGAGGCTCTAGGATTCAAGCTATTCTTCTCTTTCGATTATGCCGGCCGGGGTCCCTTTTCTAAGGACGAAGTGATCTCCTGGATTAATAAGTACGCTTCTAGTAGTGCCTACTTTAGACACCAAGGAAAGCCTTTCGTCTCGACATTCGAAGGACCCGACCAAGCTGAGGATTGGGTCGATATCAAAGCTACTACTGGATGCTTCTTTGTGCCTGACTGGTCCTCTTTGGGGGCCGGTCCTGCTGTTGAGAAAGCAGGTGGTGTTGTTGACGGGCTCTTCAGTTGGGCTGGCTGGCCATGGGGCGATCAGGACATGGACACTTACGTCGATGCCTCCTATAGGAGAGCTTTGAACGGCAAAGCCTACATGATGCCTGTCTCCCCATGGTTCTATACTAATCTCCCTGGGTATAGCAAAAATTGGCTGTGGCGCGGGGATCATCTTTGGTTCGATCGCTGGATCCAAGTCAATTCGTTGATGCCCGAGTTTGTTCAGATCATTTCGTGGAACGATTACGGCGAGAGCCATCACATTGGGCCGATCCGAGATCACGCCCTTGTTGCTTTCGATACTGGGAAAGCCCCTTACCGATACTCCCTCGACCACCATGGCTGGCGGGTGCTTCTCCCGTTCGCCATAGATCGATACAAGAACAACAAAGCAACAATCACTTCTGAGGGCGTCTCATTCTGGTATCGCACGACCCCCAAAGATGCTTGCGGCACGGGGGGTACCACGGGCAACACAGTCTCACAGCTCCAGATGGAGTTTCAGCCCAATGACATCATCCAAGACTCGGTATTTTTCACCGTTCTTTCGACTGATACTGTGTCTGTCACCGTCTCTATTGGGGGCGTGTCCTCTAAGGGCGTCTTGAGAGATTTGCCTGATGGTGGGGCTGGCCTCTACCACGGCAGCGCACCATTCAATGGGCGCACAGGAGACGTACGGATCACCGTCACGCGAAAGAGTGTGACCATCGCCGACGAGACTGGCCCCGCGATCAAAAACGACTGTCATAACGGCATGACAGGGTTCGACGCCTGGGCTGGTGGCGGCCTTACCTCGAGAGCCCCTAGTGCTGTCGACACGCCTTCTTTGGAGAATGAAGTATGTATCCGCGGCACTGGCGCGAATGACTTTGATGTCTTGTGTCGGACCACATGCTACTGGGGCTATTGTCCTGAAAGTGCTTGCGTTTGCAGAGCCACGGGCGCTCAGATCAAGCTGCCTCCAGAGACTCCCGGAGAGGTCCATCCGGCCGAGGGGTTGAACTCGAATTACATCGGTCTTTGCAACTATGCTTGCCTCTACGGAGCCTGCTTCTCAACCTACTGCGGCAAGGACGAGTACCCCTGATCGAACCGACTGTATCTCCTTTCAACCCCCCATCCTGCACCTCGGGGACTGGTGACGGGGACTGGGCGGCGCTTTGCAGCTTCACCTGCCGCCATGGCTTTTGTCCCATTGCCAGGTGCAAATGTACAGGGCAAGGTTCTCTCAACCTGATGAATCCGTCTCAGGCGACCAAAGCTATAAGCCGAATTGGTGAAGACCACGGCCTTTGCGCGTTCGCCTGCGCCAGAGGTCTCTGTCCCAAGAATGCCTGTGACTCGAGTGGTGGCGACTCACAAGAGCAGACTGACCCCCCAGTGGACCAGGTGGAAATGCCTCATCTGGATAAGGACTGCTACCGATTTACCGAGTGCGTAGATTTGGACAACACGCAGGCTTCGAGCTGTCGTGATGGTTACACTCGCATGTCATTTGATCGGGCTAGCTGTCCGAGCGGCTCAGTAAGTCCGCTTCCGGTAAATTGCTTCCCAGCTGACTGGAACTTCGCAGGGTCTCCCTATCTGTTGCAAAAACAGTGCTCTCCCCATGGAATGCACGTGGAGAGGCAGTGGTGGTGACTGCAATGGCCAGTGTCACAAAGGAGAGGTCACTCTTTTTGAATCGTCGAAAGGAGGAGACCCTGGAGAGAGCGGTGACAGCAAATGCAGCCGTGGACACAAGGTATTCTGTTGCGGTCTGAAGACTTTCAGTGCGATGACTAGCCAATGTCGTTGGACAGAATGGTGAGTTTCCCACGTTTCATTCATATGACGCTGAAGAAGATGTCCGAAGTCGAATACCAGATCTTTTCTTGGCACTAACGTCTCAACAGCTCTGAGAAGTGTACGTCAGATGAAACCCAGGTAGCACAGGCTTCCGAACTGGAAGGCAAGTGTGGTCTAGGGACCTTGACAAACCGCTACTGTTGTAAGAACGACCCTCCTCCCCTGTCAAACTGCCACTGGGTTGGACAGGGTGACTGCGCAGACAACACTTGCAACAACAAGGAGGTGACTCTGATCCTGGATCAGGGCGGTGGAGACGGCAACCTCTGCTCTTGTGAGTATGCGTCCAAAAACTATTGTACTCCGAGGCTGACAATCGGCTAGGGTGGAGAAAGAAGTCGCTCTGTTGCACTCCAGAAGAAGCCGTCTTCGGTGGCAACGGAGTATGTCCCAATCCATACTGCACGTCACTGATTGGAGACTGTGCCTCGGACGAATGGGCAGAAGATGAGTCTGATGAGGACTGGTGCGACGACGACGAACATGATGAGCTCCGTCGTGACGAAGCAGCCATAGCCCAGTATGGGGCCCTATCCCCATTTCAACTGGAGGGACGATCCCTTCTCGACAAAAGAGCGAAAAGAAGAAGAACTTTCGATGCGATTATAGACGACATCATCCTACAACTAATCATATCCATCCAGATCATTGCTAGGGGTTACCCCGGGTCTTCCCATCTCCGTCGTCCGACAAGGGGACCCGCGGCTTCGGATGACGTGTTTGAGTACGTTATTGCCCCCTGTTTATATTTTCTTCTTTGAGCATAACTGACATGATACATAGACAGGCGCCAGGTTGTGGAATTGTGGACATTATTGTCAAAGATCAGCACTCTTTCACAGACGCGCAACTAGCAGCCAGAGTTGACACAGAACACAACCCGGATGTAAGTTAGCACATTTTTACGGTAACGCTGCGAGTAAATTCTGACAAGAGACAACTAGCTGCAATTCATGAGGGATTTCCTCCTGACCTTGGGTACGGGTAGACTCCCTGACGACTTGAACTCAACTACTGTTGCCGGTCACATAGACCCCCAAACCATCGACTACTGGTGGCACCACAAATTCCCGCTGGGCACATTTCCTACCCAGGGGAAAAGCAGATGTATTGCTTCGATTAATGACTTCCTGATGGATTTCTTCGGCTCCCAGGGAAACAGGAAACCCCTTCTCCTGTGCGAGCGCCAGCTGAATCAGATGAAGGGCAGAATTTTCGACAGGAGAGTAAGGCCTGTTGCCGACGCCCAGATGACTCAACTTCGACTCCAGGCATTGAGTGGCAACACTACGGCCGAAGAAGTGTTGTTTAATAATATTGCGAGGGTGAGTAACTCTGTTCGCCTCCAGCCTTGGTATTCGGCAGGAAGAAGTGGCTAACGATGAACGATTTCCAAGGCGATCGCAGTGTGGAATTACATAAACCATCCTGATGTCCAGCCAACGGTCGCTACCAACCGTAACAATTTGATTGAGGGCACGCGTATAATCGCCCAGTTGATTGGTCCACTTTCCAGGATGCGTGCGTTGCTCCAGGAGTTCGACCCAGTTTGGTACCAGGCAGCGGCAGACAGGACGAGAAGATGGGTGGACGAGATGCTGGACTTGATATTGCAGGATCTTGACGCTCTTACTCAGGCTGGATTAGCACCTGCGAATGCGCATTCTATTAGATTGAGGGTATCGCGGTTGTTGAACCGGAGGGGCGACATCAAACCGCCACCAAAGTAAGGATGAGTTGTAGAGAAAGGCCATTTTATGTCTTATATCCATGCCTATAACATGCAAAGTCTGACTGGGTCATGCCTATATGCAGATATACGCTTCTCTTACGGCCGCCTTCGCATATATCCTTAACTAGGCATCGAGGTATCACCCAGAGGGCCAATGGCAGGGGGTCTGATGTAGTCTTGCCAGTCGTCCAATTCCACCGCATGCAGATCGTTGTATGTTCCTGCTGTGTAAAATGCGTTCATGTACTTCCATCCAACATACTTGCGGTCGCAGCCGTCAATCAGCGGATAGCCGCCGTCGTTCATAGTAACGTTGCCATGGGTCCGGTCCGGACTCCACTCGCGATCAAGCACGACAATAACCATGGCGGGTAAAAGGGGCCTGAGAAGCGGGTGGCCAGCGTCAGCTTCCTGAAATCGGATGACTGTCTCGACACACGCCTTGTCGACGTATAGGCAAAATCGGAAGCGGGGGAGTTTAGTGACGTTGGGTCGTGGAAAAGCACCAGACGGTGGCTCGACAAGACCCTGTTCAGAGACCCAGCCATCAAAATGACGCCTGACCTCGGACTTTGACGCATTGTCCAGGTTGGCGCGGTCTTCAATCACGACCCAATCGAGATACTTTTCCAACAGTTCGGCTCTGCGGCCCTTGACGAGCTCTTCATGGCAGAACTGCTTCAGCTGCGTGAGATATCGATTCCAGAGGTCGTCATCATCGTACGTGCAGCGATAGACCACGAATCCCCACGTGTGACAGCCAGTGTTGATCATGTCGAGACTGATGTTGGAAAAGACATCCCGGTGGTTGAGGGCACGTTCATTCGACAGCTCCTCCAGCGTACGAGCATCGAAATTGAAATTGCCGGGACCTGAGGATGACATTGTGTGGTTGAAACTGTGATTCTAGAAGAATTCCGATATGAAGAAGCTCGCCGTGATGGGGGCATAAACCTGAGAAGAAGGTGTTTCTTATAATTTGCCGTGAGTCTCCAAGAAGGCATTAACAGAGTCGAGGAACGGTGTTGGTTAAATAAGAGTGGTGTAAGAGGTACGTACCTTGCTGTACACTCCGTTGCGTTGACAGCGTCCGCCCCCCTTTTTTTTCCCCGCTTATGCAAAAACATGAAAAAAAGCCAATTTTACGCTGTGACGCGCATTTCTCTGCATCGCACGCAAAACGCGTCAAAGTCATCACCAACACCTCAATTGCCGTCAATCACTATAGTCCCAGTAGTATTCAAACGTATAACTACACGATAGAGACATAAGGTGTGTATTTCATGCTTCCGTAGCAGTCAATCTACCCATCGAGGCATTGCCAACCCAGCTAGTCACCTCATCCCCATACCATTCGACCAACAAAAGGTCTATTTTCGTCATGAGAGATCAAGATGACATTTGCTGAGGAACAGAAGAAGAGACCTGCTGTATGACTTTATATATCTACTCAGCATACGGTTTGTATGGCTCTGAGTAATATATAAGCATACCAAGGGGCTTGATACGGTTCTTCAGAGCAAATGCTTTGGCAGTCAACAGGATTAATGACTCTCCTGATAGCTCAGCTTGTTCACGATATTGAGCAAGAGTCTACTGCTGTATAGATTGTGCCCTGTTACTTACAGTTTGCCGCTGGTCAGTACATGTCCGTGGTTTATTATATCAGATACATCGAGAAAGACGCCGGGCGACGACGACGATACAATGGCGCCCAGAATATCGAATCTACAGCTATCGACGATCGCGATGATACTGCCATTCGAAGACCAAAAGACCCACGAGCTGGCAAGTATCGTTGGCTGTACCGAACGAACGATTCGACGACATAGATCACGACGTAATATCACTGGCGAAGTGCAGAGATATAAGAGGTGCCGCCAGAGTCGACAAAAGATGGAAATATGGCATCGTACAGAGCTTCTTGAACTACTGCAGTACCGCAGCGATCTATCTCTTGAAGAGATGCAAGATTTCCTATTTGAAGCCTTCGAGATCCAGATCAGTCGTTCTGCAATCAGTCGACAGTTAAACTCAGCTGGCTGGACGAACAAGAAGTCCAAGATTATTGCTGCTCAGCGAAGTGACGAACTACGATACGAGTACTTGTACCGTATACGACGATATCGCCCCGACCAGCTGGTATTCGTCGACGAATCCGGCGTCAATAAGGATACTGGGATACGGAGGACTGGATGGGCGCCGAAAGGGCTTGCTGCGTTTCGAACTGCAGAGATTGATCGGTTTCAGAACTCTCGCGTACAGATCCTGCCAGCCCTCACGTTGAGCGGTATCCTACACTTGACTACGTATTATGGTACGACTGACGGCGATGGGTTCTTTCGTTGGCTACAGGAGTGCCTTATCCCGAAATGTGGGCGTTTTCCAGAGCCAAACTCTGTCATCGTTATGGATAACCTCTCCTGCCATCGTATACCTGAAATCGAGGGTTTATGCCGGGTATCAGGTGTCCATCTCGAGTTTCTGCCTCCGTATTCACCAGACTTCAACCCCATCGAAGAGTACTTCGGCGATCTAAAGCGATACATCAGGAAGACGTATTCGAAGTGGAACAACGATGAGAATGACACTCGGGATTTCATGGAATATCTACGTGACTGCGCTATGGAGATTGGGTATCGTCTACCCCAGATCGAGGGCCATTTCCGCCATTCGTTCGTCAACTTTGATGGGACAGAGCATATATTTGACGATATCGAACTATAAAAGGGAGGATTTGCTGCCAATATTGAACATCAGCAAGCAATCCAAATTTTCATCGTGCGTTCGCGCGCAATAGATCTTAATCGTGTCGTCATATGATGGTCAATCATCAAATCCATGATTGTAGCCAACAAGATTGCCAAAAGGTTAGCCACAAGCGCACCAGAACACAAAAAATATACCGTCGTCCATTGTTTTCGTCGGTAGCTACGTATACATATCAATTTTGCCTGTATAACGGCTGAAACGCGTTGTTGATGCTTGTGACGATGATTTGTGATGATGACACGTCATCACGATCAGAGACTTCAACCATAGTCAGAGACTTCAACTGCCCCTAACCAGTATCGGGATGGACCGAAGTGTATTGTTTGCAGATCCAAAATAACAGTAATTCTATTGCTTTTATACGTATAGAGCGGCAGTGTTGAATCTACGGCTATGGGTAGACTTTTCCGTGGTTGAACACGTCATGCAAAAAAATCGCGCATACAGTCAAACTTCACACCACTCTTGCTGTATCACTCTTCTTCGTTATCCTCCTCCGAGTAATACGTCTCTGTTGACGACGTATCACTCGAGATTTCAATCTGATTGTCCTCATCGCCTTGCTCGATTTCGTCTTGTTCGATCTGTAACTGCGTGGGCAGCATCTGCGACGCTGACAGCAGTGGTGACGAAACGAAACCAAAGAGTTCCGAAACGCCTACAAAGTTAGCCATATTCGACAGTAAACAGCTCTATATACACTCACCACGTCGACCAACTTCAACTGGCGTACCACGGATCTCTTGCTCGATGGATTGACGTGGCACTAGGGCGTCGATATGTCGGGATGACCCCAACTCGCCTGAAACTAGCGCCGCAGAGTTTTCAACTGGCGCCGCCGCCGTCCCTCCTGGCAATCCAGCGTATATTCTTGTATAAACATCTCCTTCTGACTCTCGATGGTTTGAATGAAGTTCAGAGTGAGATACCACGTCGGAGAGGGCGTCAGACTGCCCTCCGTAGTAGGCGCTGTTGTCTATGAAGGATTTGATCGAGTTCCTGACATCTTCGGTAAGATCTTGAGTAAAACCCTGTTCAGTAAACCAAATATCTGGTAACTTGCGAATTGCCCGCAAGCTACTGTCTACTGATCGCAGTTTCTGTAGCTTCTTTCTGAACCCTTCGTCGACGTTATATCGCTTGCCGCGGACGGATATAAACCACTTGATGAAGCTGGCCACTTGATCTAGAGCTTTTCGAGGCGAATCCGGTACCACTGGCGAGGACGAACGAATCGGGAGTGCGATACTTGGTTGACGAGTGCTTGGAAGGTTCAATGGCGGAAGAGTTGGCAACGAATACTGTGAGATGTTCGCATATGGCCAATATGCCGGCGGCGGCGGCGCCGGCGGCGGCAGCTGTACGTATGGGTTAGGATATTGAAGATGACGATCTGGCGCCCCCGCGTTGCCGTATATATTGACGATGGCGTTGCTGTTGGCGTTGGTTAGGCCAGATCTTGACCCTGATGATGGAAGTGCGGCATTTTCAGCCTTCTCTTCCGTCATCACTGTCGTCTCCTGGTTATCATCAACCTCCACGATATTCTTACTTCTCTTGCCCTGGCGTTTCTGATCCTCTATAAACTGGTCGTGAAGAATCTCACCAAGCAGTTCTTTAGGTGGTTCCATATTGTCAACGCCAGCCTGTCCAGTCATAATAGCCTTCGCCCACTTCTCTATATGGTGAGATTTGATCTTGTAGTGCTTCTGGCCTAGTATATAGCACCAGTTGAACTTCTCGTCGCCCGAACTATTCTTACATCTCTGGTACTCTGGGCAGATGTGCGTACGGAGAAGTTGTCTGTGCATACCCTCCTTCCGACGCTCGACGTTTGCAGGATCGTTAGCCTCACGATCGATCGCCTCTTGCATGCCGGCTGAAACGCCTGCTCGGCCACCTTTTCGAGGCGTTCGTACGCCAGTCACTATACCACCAGAGATTGGTACGGCGCTGTATTGCCACTTGACGGTGAGGTGGACTTCACCCCTCTCTTCAGCTTGTTCAAGAGAGGGGACAATATCAACCCATGGAATACTTGGCCAAGTGACCCCTCCAGTAGACGGATAGACCCGAGTGAAGATTGGTGTTGGTTTAGATGCGTTGGTGGGCTTCCTCCAAGCAACGACAACAGCGATATTGGCCTTCTTCACAATATACGAGTGAGCCACTTCTGCCTCAAGTTGGGCGCCGCTGTCTGCCTCCCAGTCTCTACTATTCGCATCT